CAGTGCCATTCAAGATATCCTGTAAGACACCACCCGCCTCCAGCTGCCAGGCCAGGTGGGAACAGCTCTCCCCTAGGCCCCAGGTCATATCTGCCAGGCCCATGTAAATATCTCAAATGGCACCAAATGTCTTTAAGAAACAGAAATAAGTGCAACTCAATAATCTCCAAAGGTTCATTAAACCTTGCACGGATAAGAATTAAAATATTCATTCTCCTGAAGACCTCCTTTGGCTGTAGGTTGATGTACATGAGTAGGACAGAAGGAAGCAGAAGTGGTCCCCACTGGTGGATGAAAAGCTGGACATGAGCCAACAATGTGCACTCACAGTCCAGAAGGCCAACCGTATCCTGGGCTGCATCAAGAGAAGCGTGGCCAGCAGGGTGAGGGAGGGGATTCTGACCCTCTACCCTGCTCTGGTGAGACCTCACCTGAAGTTCTGCATCCAACTCTGGAGCCCTCAGCACAGGAAAGACACAGAGCTGTTGGAGCGCGTCCAGAGGAGGTCCACAAAAATGATCCAAGGGCTGGAACACCTCTCCTGTGAGGACAGGCTGAGAGAGTTGGGGCTGTTAAGCCTGGAGAAGAGAAGGCTCCACAAAGACGTTATAGCAGCCTTCCAGTACTTAAACGGGACTTAGAAGAAAGATGTGGACAGGCTTTTTAGCAGCAACGGTTGCGATAGGACAAGGGGTGGGCAAGTGCAGGGTCCTGCACCTGGGGAGGAACAACCTCATGCACCAGTACAGGCTTGGGGTGGACCTGCTGGAGAGCAGCTCTGCGGAGAGGGACCTGGGTGTCCTGGTGGACGACAGGTTAACCATGAGCCAGCAGTGTGCCCTGGCTGCCAAGAAGGCCAATGGGATCCTGGGGTGCATCAAGAAGAGTGTGGCCAGCAGGACGAGGGAGGTTCTCCTTCCCCTCTACACTACCCTGGTGAGGCCTCATCTGGAGTACTGTGTCCAGTTCTGGGCTCCCCAGTTCAAGAAAGATGAAGAGCTACTGGAGAGAGTCCAGCGGAGGGCTACAAGGATGGTGAGGGGACTGGAACATCTCCACTACGAGGAGAGGCTGAGGGATGTCCTTGCTCACTGCAGGGGGGTTGGACTAGATTGACCTTTAAAGGTCCCTTCCAACCCAAACTATTCTATCATTCTGTGATTTCTCTGTCAACACAGAGCTGTTCTAATAAATCCTGTAGGGATAAGTTTATACCAGATGAAAAATCTCCTGGAACAAACCTACACAGTGGAAAACTGCATCACTTCATAGTTACTAGTATGTCAGTGCATCAATTAAGTATCCCTGTTAACCTGAGGGAAACTTTAAGCAAGTCCCAAATTAACATATAGATAATATCGGAAAGGAATGACAAGTTACTGTGTGAATGCATAACAAAATTTGAACAAGTCACAAAAATTCAGCTCTGGTTTTATTTTAAAGTCTTGTACAGTTTTCAGAAAATCAACTGATTTTAAGAAAAGCTCTGTGGAATACAATTGGAAAAAAAAATAATTATGGCTCTTGGGACATGGGGGGCTGTTTGTAGTTTTTGGCCGGTTTTTTTTTGTTTGGCCAGGGGGAAGGGTTGTTTTGTTGTTGTTGTTTTTAGTATTACCAGAATCCTACAGGATGTTCATGCAAAAATGGCAGACAGACCACAGATTCTTATCGGAGATCTCCAGTGTATTTTAGCCACTCAAGGGAATATTAGTTAATTTCTAAATGCTTATTATTAATTATTTTGGCAAGTATTTATTTTGTAAATTTGCATCTGTTGGAAGCACTTCACTAAAAAGATGTTAAAAAAAAAAAGTCATATCTTCTTAGTCAAAAGCATACCAGATTGCTGGAGCTGAAATGTTCTGTTGCTGGGACCTCATTTTTCACATTCTTTTCCAAATTCCCCACGGGTCTGTCCTGGAGGTAGGGTCATGGGAGTCCCCTGAAAACTGCTCTGTGAACACAGCTTTCCTGTTGGTGATGTGAACATCATTTTCTCAAAGCAATGTAAATCCAGGGGGCTTCCAGTTAGTTCACAGGAAATATAAAGTTATTCCTGTTGTTCCATATTTGGACAAAAACGACATTCAAAGCAACTGCTTCCTCTAAGTACATTCTTTTACAGGAAGCTCTGGCAACAATCGCGGTATTTGCTTACTTAGTGAAATTTTCAGAATATCACATTTTACCACTCAGTTCTGCACAGCTCAAAGGAGGCAACTGGTTTGTGAATACTAACTAATGGCATTATCATTACAATACAAAGCCTCCCATCCACATTATCTACTACCAGGTCTATTTCCACAGATCGCCAGATACTGCTTAGCCTCCAGCAAGCAGAGAATACTGTATTTAGCAAGTGAGTATCAGCTGAGTCGGTTTTGTACCCTTCTCCTGTTTAAGAACTTCACTTTCAGTTATATTTTCAAAGAAGTGAAAAAAATTCTAGGTGCCAATAGGATCCTCTGGTGTTATAGTCACTGGTGTTACCTCACTGACACCTGAGGATCAGAGTATACTCCGGGACTTTCTGACATCCAGTGACAAGCTGTTCCAGGAACATATTTCAAATGGCACGACCCTTCCTATATTTGATTATGGCAATCATTGCCAATAATCCCCGCCCTACTCTTCCATTTTGTGAATGGCCAAACAGGAGCCAGGGGACACAGGTGATAAGCTTCCATTCCTCGTCTTGCTAATTTGAAACAATCTCAGCGAAGGAAAGGAAAACCTGTTGCAGAACCATCACGGCTGTCGCAGACCTCACCACCCGCCTTGTATGCAACTAATCACAAGTGTACAAAGCAAACTGCTCCTTGTTCTGCATGACACAGACGCAAACACCCTGCCTTCTAACTCGCCTTTTTAGTGTAACTAGCATTAGCAGTCACTGGGCATGTACGCTGCAGGGAAACCAAACATCAGACTTCATTCTCCTTCACAAGGCAGAGAGATTGCAGTCTCTGAAACAAATCATACGAGTTTGATTTTCTTGCTGCTTTCTGGGAGGGATCCGCAAAACCATTTCCAGCACCTGCCAGAGGTAGAAGCCTGGATACAAGACGGAAACAGCAGCATGACAATGGTGTCCCATCACTGCTGCCTCTGCAGCGGTGGCCAGCGATGCTGAGGCACGGGTGGCAGTCTCCTCGCCGTCCTCTCAGTAAACCCATACCAGCAGGGCTGAACTGCTTTCCAGAAACACCTCGGGGCTCCTCCGGCCGCTGTCCCTTTGGTGTTCAGTGCGCGTCCCCATTTTCACAACCACAAGGGTACCCATAATATGTTCGAGAATGGGTGCTTGGTGTGGTTGAGAGCCTGCCCCAAAACAGCTCTAGCAGGCAGCCAAAACACAATGCCACCAAAACCCAGCAGAGGACGAGGGAGAGGCAGGGGGGGGCGGCCG